TCACATTGTTTCTTTTTTTTCTAGAGAAAATCTCTTCATGAAAACAAATTGAAGAGACTGCAGGAGAAAGTAGAAGTCTTAGAGGCAAAGAGAGAAGAATTAGAAACAGAAAATCAGGTGTTAAATAGGTAATTGTATAAATACATCTCCCATATAGTGACATTATAGAACTTTGATACTGAGTATAATGCACTTTGTTTTCTTTTAAAATGTACTTTTTCATTGTTTCCTCTATAATGCACTTGTTTTCTTTTGTGTTTAAAAGAATTCTAAAACTGTTATACTCCTAATTCATTATCCTTATTATTTTTTTTCTGGCTGAATGTTTCTTCAAACCAGAAGGTCTTTAACACATGCCAGGCATTTGTGTTATGGTTGGGACTGACAGGAAAGGTCACTGGCTTTGGTAGCCAGGAGTGGTGTGAGTTCTTGCTCCTGAGACAAGAGAGTTGTAGCATTGCATAGTTCCAAAAATGTGTCTGGAATTTTGAATCAAGATTTTTGATTTCTTGTTGTGGAAAAATATTATTGGCCCAAAGCTTCTGGTTTTTCATTTACATACAAACATAGCTAATCTGCATGATGAGCATGTTTGAGCAGAGATGATTTGCCATATTAACTTAGTGGTAGTGGCATTGTATGACCTATTTGATTCTAGTTAATACAGACTTTTTAAATTCAGCTAATTTCAGTGGTAGCCTTCAGCACGAGAGAGTGTCAGACTTTTCTGAAATTGCCTATAATACCAAGCAGTGATGTTTTATTTAGAATGTGCACCTGTCTTCCTTGGATGTGATTGTTACCAAAATGTGAAAGTTGTTTTTCTGGAACACCTGAAGTTTATAGACTATGGAATTCATGCCCTTTCTTTTCTTTTTTCTTTTCTTTCTTTCCTTTCCTTTCCTTTTCGAACGGGAGAGTCGGGGGGAGAGCAGAGGGAGAGAGAAAATCTTAAGCAGATGGGGCTCAGTCTCACAACCCTGAGATCGTGACCTGAGTCAAAATCAAGAGTCAGATGCTTAACTGACTGAGCTATCCAGGGGTCCCAAATTCATGCCAGCTTTATAATACTCTGTTCCAAAGTAAGAAGCCACCAAATTTCTTTTAAATCAAAATTCAATTTCCTACCTCTTCTATAACCATTAATTTTGAAATATTATCAATATTATCAAGATTGGGCAGCCATGGCACTGATCATCTAGAACTTTGAGTGGTTTTGAAAACTGTATTTAATTAGTGGTGTGGTTGATGGTCAGGAAATTCACGTCCAAAAAGGTGATGGTATGTAAAGGCCTGAAAATTTTCCCCTAAAGTTGGTGGGTAGCTTCACCTTTGTCATTAGTTACATTTCTTTTTTAAGAATTATTTGAGAGAGAGAGACAGGGAGTGAGTGTGTGTGCGTGTGGGTGGGTTGGGGCGGGGAGAGGGAGAAAGAAACTTTAGCAGGCTTCTGCTCAGCTCAGAGTCCCATGTGGGCTTGATCTCCCAACCCTGAGATTATGACCTGAGCCGAAACCAAGAGTTGGCTTAAGTGCCACCCAGGCACCCCCATTAGCTACATTTTTAATAATTAGGTTGAACAACATGTAATTCCCTATATTGGACTATATTTTACCTATAAAAATGATAATTTCATAAGACTCAACCTACTATTTTCTCTATTTTCTACTTGATTCCTTCTATAAAATAAGGCACCCTTTTGGTTTAAGGAGTCTTTAGTTTCAGGATTCATGCGTTGGTAGAGTGGAATGGAAATAAAAGTAAAAGTATTGAAAGATTTTTAGTCTTTGATTAATCGGCAAATAAAACTTTAAAATGAGTTGATAGTTGGGCTGCCTGGGTGGCTCAGTTGGTGAAGCATCCACCTCTTGGTTTTGGCTCAGGTCATGATCTCAGGGTCATGAGATCAAGCCCTTGAGTTGTGCTTCCTGCTTATTGGGGTCTGCTGGAGATTCTCTCTCCCTCTCCCCCTCCCCCTCCCTGCATGCGTGCACGCGCATGCATGCGCTCTCTCACCCTCTCTCTCTCAAATAATTTTTTTTTTTTAAAGATTTGATTTAATTTATTTGAGGGAGAGGGAGCACGAGCAGGGGGAGGGGCAGAGGGAGAAGCAGACACTGAGCAGGGAGCCCCTGGGATCATGACCTGAGCCAAAGGCAGACGTTTAACAGACTGAGCCACCCAGGCACCCTAAAATAAATAAATCTTTAAAAAAAAAATAGAAATGAGTTGAAAGCTTGCAGTGCTAACGGTAATATGATTAAGATGTCATATTTCTGTTTATTTTTCTAGATAGAGTTTTATGTATATATCATATGCAGATAAATCTTACAATTTTGAAGTCCGTTTTCTTCCAGTTTGGAATTCTGTGAATCATACTGTTCTACAAAACAGTATAACTATTAAAGAATAGAAACACTTTTTTTCTTTTTTAAGACAAAACGTTCCATTTGAAGAATATACAAGGCTTCAAAAAAGACTAAAGGACATACAGAGAAGACATAATGAATTTCGAAGTTTAATTTTGGTTCCTAACATACCTCCAACAGCATCTGTCAATCCTGTTAGCTTTCAGTCATCAGCCATGGTTCCAGGCATGGACCTATCCTTTCCTCCTCATATGCAGGTATGAGCATTTATGTTTTTAAAAAAAAAAAAAACACTAACATTTCTGTAAGTTTTTACCTGTTTAAATTCAGAGTTAAAAACTCAAATCTTTCTTTACCATAGAAATTTGCTGGTGGAAGCAAAGTGGATTTGAATCTATTCTTTCCCTTAGTGATGGTGCTAGGAGTGAAATCTCCTGGGCAATTGAAAAGAAGAAACTTGATTGATGAGTCTTTGAGTAACCTAGAGTTTACAGCTCATTCGATTACTAACTACTACTGAGCATTTACTAATGCTCTGCATTATGCATTTTCCATACAATATTTAATCCTAATGGAAAATACTTTGAGGGAAGGTGTTATTATTCCAATTTACAGATGAGGAAGCTGAGTCAGAGGTGGAGTGACTTGCCTAAGGTCATAGTTAATAAGTGACAGAACTGAGTGTCAAACCTAAATCTGATTCCAAATCCTGGGCTCGTTCTACTGTATTAGTTCCCTGAGATGTTGAAGGAATCAAATTGATGGGATGATTTTCCAAAAGATGAACTCTTAATAAGTAATTACATTTTATAATGTTATAAGCACCAAAGATTTTAGTCACTGAATTGAATCTGACCAAGTGCTTTGTTTATATTAAACTGCTATTAAACTCCAGCCTTGTTAGAACATTGGCCTGTAAGCATTAGTATTTTCTGATTCACTCCCTGGTGAGTTTTATACCTAGATAGAACAGACTTTGGGATTTGCTAAAGGCTAGTGCCTGAGGCAGGAGAGAAGCGAGGACTAGTTAGTAGCTGGCCTGCACTGCTGTCTTCTCACTGCTAAAATGGTCATCCTTTCCGTGCCAGATGTTGCAGGCCCGAGTGAAAGAGCCGCTCAGGCTGTATTTTTCCAGCCATTTTTCTGAGTTTATTTTATTTTATTCTTTTTATTTTTATTTTATTCTTTTTCTGTGCTTTTAAGGAGGAACAGCATCAAAGGGAACTCTCTCTACTTCGCAAAAGACTAGAAGAACTAGAAACAACACAAAGGAAACAGCTAGAGGAACTTGGATCTCCTGGGGAATGATGTTCTTGGAGAAAAAGCAGATCAGAAGGGATGAAATCATTGTGACTCAATAAAGCTTGAAGTTTTAACGTATGTGGCATTTAGATATTGTATTACCGTTTGCCAGAACATTTGTGCCTCAAGTAAAGGTACTGGCTACCTGCTATATATTGCATCAGTGTCGGGATTTTAGGGTTATGCTAATGACAAGTGAAGCATTAAAACAGCTCCAGAGATATTTAGAATATTTATTGACAACCCTTTGAGAATGTTAAAAAAAAAAAAAAAGATGAGTGAATTAGGGAATCAAGTTTTTAAATTATTTTCACTTTGAAATTTTTTGGCTTTTTTTTTTTGGCATTTTGCCTGAAATATGCCTATGTTGAATTCGTTCTGCCTCTTTGAGATAGTTGGCAGTAATAGGGTCAGTAAACATTTTCCGGTTTATTATATACAAGAGTTCTCTAGTTCTTGAAAAAAGATGACTTAAAAGCATTAAAAAACAAAACTTGAAGATATATAAATATTATCAAATGCTACCGTTCTAAAAGCTGTGTGCAGGGCGCCTGGGTGGCTCAGATGGTTAAGCATCTGCCTTCGGCTCAGGTCACGATCCCAGGATCCTAGGATCGAGTCCCGCATCAGGCTCCCTGCTCAGTGCGGAGCCTGCTTCTCCCTCTCCCTCTGCCATTCCCTCTGCTTGTGCTCTTCTGTCTATCTCTCTGTCAAATAAATAAAATCTTTAAAAGCTGTGTGCACGTAATTAAAGAGCTTAATAAATATTTTTCTTTATTGTCTTAATCTTGACCATACATTGTGTATTTAGCAATGTCGCAGTCTCATTGTTATTTTCTATTCTAACCCAAAACCACAAAGTACAAATAATTAAACCCGTGACCGTATAAAACAAGGGCCATTCGTTGTAAAACTTGAACCCCATGGGGTCCCTTAGAAATATTGTTGGTATTTAATGTTGCCTCCCACTGTTTTGGATCTAACCAAATTATTATAAATGTTTTATTTCTGTGTATCCCTAACCTCTTTTAAAGGAATTCTGCTGGAATAACTTCACGTCAACAAGGCACAGCTCAAGTCTGCCAAACTAAGTGGAATGTTCATTATCCAGAAGTCTTCAGGATCAAAAAGTCCAGGTAGATAGTGGAGGCCAGGGATGTAAATGAGCATTCCTTAGCATCATTTAGAAGAAACTAGATGTACTTACTACATTACAGAGCTGCTTATTCACATTCGCGTTGGCACCTAGATAATTTCCGTGGAGCTACTTAGAATAAAAAATCTATTATAACTAGAACATTTGAAGGAAAAAAAAAAAGACAGTCCACATTTACATCAAAATGTTTATTTTTGGATATAGACATTTAAAACATTCATCTCCAAGTACAACTTCAATCAGGTATACAATAAGAAATAGACTTTAAATCCCTAATACGGAAAAGGTAACAGAATTAATTTTTAAATGCTGCTGTAGACACTAGTGTTAGAAAAAAAAGTTCATAAATGGTTTGCACCAAAAAAATATGCAAAGAAACTTGAAAATAGAAATTGTTTGCCATTTATTTCTCCGGTTGCAGTTTAATATAGACCCAGTGACTGATTGTCTTCAGCACACATCTAATTTGGCCATTACTGCATTTGGCTAATGTGATCCAAAATGTGATCTAGATAGTGCTTTTCACTGGAGGATTGACAAACACGCTACATACATTAGTGAATCTTCACACCACCTCAATGAGGTAGGTTAGAAATATTAGAAATTGAGGCACAAAGAGGTAAGTGACTTGCCCAAAGTTCCCAGCAGCATCGTCCCTGCAAGAGGAGGTAAGGCTCCACATGGGACTCATGTGCCAGAGAGCTGGACAGGGACACCCTCATGTAGCATTTACTGAATACTTAGATAAAGCTGTAGCTGATCCTTTTCTTAGCATTTCTGTACCCTAAAGAAGGGGAAGTTTTTTGGGCAACTCTCCTACCCTTGGCTCTCAACTGTCCTCCTGTTACTCTCTTATGAATGCCTTCACATCAAGACTGTAGCAGCCTTAGATGGGGACCAGGCCTCTCACCTTTATACTTGTAAGTAACCTATTTGGTAGTATTTTTGAGGTGTGTCCATTGGACAGACAGTGGTCAAAAGTGACAGGATTGGGAAGGTGCCTATCAGGGTAATAACTGCTTATTTGATCATTTTGTTGAGGTATCACCTCTTACTCTTTGCCAGATACTGAGGAGCAAAAAGAATTTCATTTTCGAAGACAAATTCACATTTAAATCCTGATATCCCATACAATGTTGGTAAAAAGATTTTAAGGAATATATGATTTATTTGCTACTTGAAAAAATGTCTTTCCTTAATCTGGGATTTGGAACACCAAGGGTAAAAGGTGCCACAAGGAAGGTTGAGAGTTGCCAATTACATTTTTTACTTTTGATTTAATAGAAGGAAAACACAGTGGTATTAAAATTGGTCATGAGCAGCAAAAATTCAGGAATAAAAAAATCAGTAAGACTACAGTTACAATATAACTGGATAGGGAATTCTTTAAAAAGAAAGGTATGAATAAAATGGGTATTTTGAATTCTTTCTCTTGTGAGGAATACTTTCAAAAAGTACATAGTAAGACTAAGATACCAAGTTGTATACTAATATTTTTCAGGCCTTGGGCCGCAAATATATATATTCATATATAGTACTCCAGTGTGAACAGCAATTTCATGAAATGTAAAATGTATTTTTTTTTTTTTTTAAATCACACACAAGTATTTATAACCACAGGGTTCACCAGAAATCTAAAGCAAGGAGACATCAAGTATAGAAATGTAGGATTAGGGGAGGGAGTTACTCTTCTACAGACAGAAATAAACTAATGATGTTTTGTTTTGTTTTGTTTTACAATAGCCAACATGTCCACTATCAAATACATTTAGTATGAAAAAATGAAAAAAAGGAACACATCAGGACAAAGTGGGTAAAATGCTGTTGCATTTAAATAAAGCCTCCTCACTCTCCTTGCTTTAGAGCTCCTTCGTGAGATGGAGGTGAGTTGATGGAGTGCAGTTGGCGACCACTGAAAAACACGAGCCCTTTCAACAATGTTGCAACACTGTCAGTTTTTGGTTTAAAAACACACACACACACACACTCACGAATGCTAAGTGTACACACTACCAAATTCTGTGGTCAGCTTTTCCAAGAACTACTGGGGAAGTTTCAATGCTGCAAATCCTCGAGGTTGCCCTAACACTCCCACCTTGTTTCCAAATGACTCATTTCACATTTTCTTGTGATCACTGGCAGTGTCCCTTTTCTGCAGAGGTGCAGTGTAGTCACAAGTGCTACATAACTGTAGTTTTCAGACACAAAACCACTGCTGTCATTGTGCTTAAGTGGAGACTGTAGTTAACTGACACTTGCTTACTGGCCCTGTATTCTCTGTAAACAAGGAGGCTGTTTGCAACAACCACTTCGACTCTATTTACAGAAAGGTTCCCACAGTATATGCACAGGCACAGTGGTTGGTATGCTTTCTAAAAGCTGTGCATGTGCCTTGGTCTCTAAAAGACAGTGCTCAAAGTGGAACCTATGTGCAAACTTTAAAAATTAACGACACAGAGTAGCTCAAGCAGCCATTTTGCTCCCAAGTTGTCTGAAGAATTTTGCCAGATTAAGCCAGTCCCCAGAGTGCTTACATCCACTTGCATTTCTTCTTTTCATCAAATAAGACTTTTACATGCAAGAGTTGTTTCTGAGCTTCTTCCAGCCCTCGTTCTCTTTCTAGTTTATTTAGAATCTGTTGACAATTAGAACAGTTATTTTAGATATTGTGGTTTTAGCATTACAATTCTGGGGGTTTTTTTGCATTCCTGATGCTGTGAGTGGTAAAATCTGTATGAAACAGATGCCAACGTTTTCTTCAATCATTTACATACTCACTTTGCAAGTTGTTTTGCTAAGTCATTATCACAGGATCAACAACACTTTGGCTTAAAATAGAAGCTAGCAAGAAATACCAACTATTTGCTTACAAATATGGGGCCAGACTTCCAAGGCCCTGTTTTATGCATTATGTCACAGCCATTCCAAGCACAGCAAGCATTCTGAGCAGCCAACATGCAGGCAAGTATTTCTTCTTAAATGCAGCAGGCAGGGGCATCCTGGTCAGAGTTGAATATTGCCCTCCCCTCCCCTCCTGGGCAGTGTAGTGCCTCCTCTCCCCTCCCCTGCCCTCCCCAGTGTTTCCCTTCTAACCCCTGGCCCCTGGAAAGAGGGATGCTTATCATGTTTAAGGAACTCATTGCCTCTACCCTACCTTAGCGCTTCACTTGATCTTCAAGTAGCAAATGGAATTGGTGAGCTATTCTCACCATTGACATGGATAGCCTGTCCCAGCATGACTGAGTGGGGGGGAATCAGGGAAGGGGAATTAACATATATTTGGAAACAGCGCATCTGATGACTGAGTCTGTGTGAATTCCCAAAGAAAAAAATCCAGATTAAGGAGAATTAATCATAAAGGAGAATGGTTTATTGAAATAGTTGCTTAAGTTAGAAATAATGTTATACTTTCATATACCTATCGAATACAGAATCTAGGCAATTTAACAAGCTTAGCTTTCATTTTAGCAGATTACAATCAAGCATAAGCTGGCCCTATTTAATAGGACCACTACTTACTCATCATCAAAGTTATCCTGAGTCAGTGTGGCTACAGACCCCATTAACTCCAATGTAAATTCAGGCTGGTCCAAAGGTGGGCAGCATGATAAAACTAGAAGAGGGGCAGCCACAGGCAGGGTCTGGCTTGGTGCCAGGATCCCCCATCTCAGACAGGCTTCCTGGCTTCCCTTTCTGGCCATTAGGGATGCCAGAGCTGTCCTGAGACCTATAGAATGCTTGACAACCAAATCCTGGTGACTGACTCATATCAATTTTTTAAAATGTTATTTAAAATCTTACCTCATCAAAATATTTTACGATGTATTTGTAGATTTCTGTCAAGGCCACTTCTTCATTAAATTCATTTTCATGTTTCTTAAAGAAAAAGAGTCTTGTTGAGAGATTCTGAAATGACTTTTTAAAAAAGAAGTAACCAAATATCTTATTTCTACTTTTTTTTTTTTTTAAGAGAGGGAGAGAATCTTAAGCAGGCTCCACATCCAGCACGGAGTCTGATCCCAGGACCCTGAGATCATGACCCGAGCCAAAATCAAGAGTCAAAAAGCTGGGGGCGCCTGGGTGGCTCAGTCGGTTAAGCGTCTGCTTTCAGCTCAGGTCATGATCCCAGGGCCCTGGGATCGAGCCCCGCATCGGGCTCACTGCACAGCAGGAAGCCTGCTTCTCCCTCTCCCTCTGCCTGCCACTCTATCTGTGCTCTCTATCTCTCTGTCAAATAAATAAATCTTTAAAAAAAAAAAGTCAAAAGCTGAACCAACTGAGCCACCCAGGCACCCCTCTTATTTGTACTTTCTAACAATACCTTAGATTCCTGAGTTAAGAATTCTTCCATTTCTGAAGATGACAATGGAGGCAAATCCCTGATTGCTTTGTAATACGATTTTACTTCCTCTTTGTAGGTTGGGATATCCTTGGCATAGAGAAGTTTATTAGTTGGTGCTTCCTGAAAAATAGAACAGCCATGGGGAATTTATAACAGTTCCAGTGTAGCTGAACCTCCAACATTATTACCTCCTAGTAACAAAGCTTTTTCATGCAGTGGGCCTTCATAAATGTTGTTGACTGAATGACTGACTGCTATATAGATAGTTCTGGTGAGTCACTGTTCTTTTCAGGCAGATTCAATGCTAATATATTCTGCCTTCCTCTCATAAAAGAACTAAAATTATTATTTTTGCATGATTTTGAGTTACTGTAACAATGGAACTTACTTCAATCATAGTTCATTACTAATGGTTGTAAAAAGCCTGAGTTAAAACATTTGCTCTCATCCTCACCCACCAGTGAATTTTGGCATTTATGAAAGACTTGATTGTAGGTCTGATTGAGCCCTTTATATAACCATGAAAGTGGTAAGTAATTGGCAGTGGTGGATTTTTCTGCTTGTCCCTTTTATTAGATTATAAAGATCTTCTACTGTTCTCAAGGAAGTACATGGTCATTAGTATTGGGGGCTCTAATGTCTGATTTCACAAAAGTTCCCTGTCAGCTTGAATGTTTTTATGTAATTATAATAGTGATAATACTAAAAATTAAGATTTTATTTTTAAAAACCATTTTTCACAAAATTTTTGGAATTCCTACTCAGGGAAAATGGGTGAGTTAATGATAGGGCTAATGTCCCAGTACATTTTTCAATGTATTGAGGACACGAATAGCCATATCAGTGGCTGCATCATTCTGAAGGATGCCTACATGGAGATATTACTGAGATTCTTTGTCAAGTTTAAGTAGAATCCACAAATCATGTGATCATGCATTCAATAAAATTTATTTAGCTTGGCACTGTGGCAGACATTGAATGTAAAAAGGTAAAGACCAGTACCTGCCTTTGAGAAGCTTATAATCTAGTTCAGAAGACAAACTTACATAGTGGTTACTATGATACCAATAATTAGCAGGTTGTAAAGAAAAGCACCGTGGAATTGGACAAATCAGGGATCCTAACAACTTTGAGGGATCTTAACCAAGACTTGTAACTTCTCAGAAAATCAATTTCTTCATCTATAAAATGAAGGTGGTAATAACTACCTTATGTGGTTCTTGTGATGATTAAGTGAAATATACCAAGAACACACAGTAATGAGTTAACAGTAATTTTTTTACTGTGAATAAGGAAGCATTTTAGTGTTTCATTGCATGGGTCAAATGAAGAACCGGTGTGGGCAATGTATAGGGAAAAAGTTCACGGAGTAGGTGTATTTAGACTGATCATAGCCTCCTACAGTTTCTGGTACACATTAGGAAGTTGTGTTTGTGGAGTGAATGAATGAATGAATGGTTTTACAAGACAGAGGGGTTATGAGACAGGAAAGGGATATGAAAACAAGTTCATGGTAAATTTGGGAAAAGTAAAAGCTGTAGCATAGAAGGTATATGGAGTTTGCCAGAAAAGAGACTTGACATCCAATCAGGAAGGACCACGTGGCACTGTGAAGATTTTACCTGGTAGGTAATGGGAAGTATTTACAATATTTAAGCAGGAGACTGAAAAGATCAGATTTTTGTTTTAGAATGACAACATGAGACACAGTGAAAAGGAAAAGGTAGGGGAGAGGGGATGAAGGGATGGGATAGAATGAGAAAAAAAAAGACATTTTGGAGATGGCAATGAGTACTAACCAATTAGGGTAAGGGAGGAAGAAGAAGGAGTCAAAGATAACCCAAAGGATTTTACCTTGAGAGACAAGGTGATGCTAGGAAGACAAAAGTAAAGACAGGTTTGTTTTGCAGAAATAGTGGTGATATTATAGATTTAGACTAGGATGCTGAGGCATCTATGAAACATCAACCACATTTCATTCCATGCACTCTCTCAATCCTTACACCAAAGGGACACTACTCAGTATTAAAAGATTTTTTGAAATCCATTAGGTACAGATATTGCTCAGTTTAATACATTTTGGAGTGCTTGAATAAGACCAAAACATCCCTTTCAAAGTTTACTCTGTATTTTTATCTTTCTTTGATTTCCTGGGGCTTTTGCTCAGCAAAGAAAGCCAAAAGAAAAACAATGTCGATGTTTTGATTATGAATTGACAAACTGGTGCTGATAGAAATCTCAGGCAAGATTTTCTTCCCCATGAGCAACTTGTTATATTCAGATAGACTCTTAGGTGTACAGTTGACCCTTGAACAACATGGTTTTGAACTATGTGGGTCTGTTTTACTCTTTGTGGAGTTTTTTCGACATAGTACTGTAAGTACATTTTCTCTTATGATTTCCTTGATGTTTTCTCTAGCTTTAAGAATACAGTGTATAATACATATAACATATATAAAGTATGTATTAATGGACTATTTATACTAACAGCAAAGCTTCCAGTCAGCAGTAGGCTATTAATAGTTAAGTGTTGGGAAAGCCAAAAGTTACAGGGTAATTTCAACTACATGAAGGATTGGTGCCCATCATCCCCCATTATTCAAGGGTCAACTATATTCAGATGGGATTAATTTGCTAAGCAAATTTCAGTAGTTTCATAGTTTAGTACTGCCTGCAGAATGTTTTTCTAGGAAACAAAATTTATACTTTTTGTGGTAAAGGTATCACAGGCAGAGTTCTGCAGTAGGATGGGGAGAATAATTTTTTTAACTAGATGAAAAATAAATGAGAGCTTTTAAAGAAAAGCAAATTTTCAGTTACTACCACTGACTATTTCTTTTTAGCTGCTATGGTTTTTTGTTGGATGTTTACAAGAAAGAATGCTTCAGACTCACAGAAGTACATAGAAGAAATACTAAAGCTAGGCCTTACCTTCCCGAGTTGCTGCTCTGTGAGAGAAAATGCGTCCATGAATGCCTGGGCAATCACAGATAAACAGCCGTCTATGTGTGGTGTCTTCTTAATGTCAAAGACAAACTGAGGGTTCTTCAGGATGTTTACCCAGAAGCGAAGAGGAAGGCTGTTGAAGAGAAATCTCTTTTCAGATACAGCCCTTCGTAGGAGGCAGATGCTCTCTTTATCACAGTTTGTAAATGGGTGTTTTTGCCCTTGTTATTGAAGTATGCAAGTCTGCTTTGCCAAATATACCAAGTGACAGATGGCAGCATCACTCAGAACAAGAAAGGGTTAAACAGACAAGCGCTGCTGGATGGGAGGACTAGAAGAGGAGAAACGCGAAAGTGACCACTGACAAGAATTTTCTCCACATAGTTTTCGATTGTGTTAGATGATGACTACCCATGAAAACATTTCATCATGTCTCCAGACCTTCACCTCTTCTCACCCCCTCTAAGTGCTACACCCTGGCGTAAGGCACCGTCGCCTCTCACCTGGGTTATTAGCTCCCTAGGTCCCCACAGTTAATTCTCCCACAACTACCAGCAATCTTCTTAACCTGGAGTCAGATCATGTCTCTCCTCTACTCAAAACCCTCTGTGTTCTCCCTCCGCCTGGGGATAAAGCCACTGCATGGTCTGGGCCCAGGCCCCCATCTGCTACTTTTCCCCTTATTCCTTCTAACTCCACCATTGGACTCTTCACTGTTCTTCATGCATACCAGGCAAGTGTGTGCCTCAGAGGACTTTTGATTTTGTTGTCCATCTTCCAGACATTACCTTCAACCAGATAGTCTCATGGTTTATGCCCTCACCTCTTTCAAGACCTGACTTGAATATCCTCTCCGTGAGGCCTCCTCTGACCACTCTGCCCTATTACTCTCTATCCTCCTTTCCCACCTTGTCTGCTGTACTAACCTAATATCCTATAAATCACCTATTTATGATCTCTTCCACCCATTAGAATGCAAGCTCTGTGTGAACATGGATTTTTGTCTATTCAGTTCATTGCTATATTTCCACTACCTAACAATGCTTGGCACAGAGTAGGTACTCAGATATTTGAACATGAACTTGGGAATCATTCAGAGCCCTTCCATTATTATCTCTTTCTCAGCTCTGGCCTAGCAAACTACCTGCATCATAAAGCCGTTGGGCCTCTCCATAGCTCTACTCTCCTGACTACTGCCCCTGCTCAGATGCCACAATCTTCCCAATGAAATGGGTGCTTGCAGCACCCAAGCTTGGTGTGGGAGTAGCAGGACCAGGGAATCAGAGCCTAGAGCACAGGATGGCAGTGAGCCAGTGTAGATAGTTGGGACAGACCTGGATTAAATGGGAGAAGATGAGACCTAGAGCTCTGGAACTTCAGCTTTTAATATTTATTTAAATTGGTCTGCCCACCCTCAGTGCTCAGGAGGGCTTGAGATTGCATTGGAAACTTCTATTACACCTTAACACCGAGTCTTATTCACAGCTCACGCACAAAGTATTTCAAATAGAGGTAATGAGCCATGTTTCTTTACTGAGAAGAAGTTGAGAAGAGACCCAGATGCCTTGCCTCAGCTTTAGATAAGATGTTAGAAAACAAAACACAGTCCTTTGGCAAATTCTCATGGTATCTAAACACTGCACTTGATCACATAAAAACAGAAATGTCCATGCAGAATCAGAGTATAGACAGCTTGGTAACTGCAAAATGATTAAGTACTCTGTAATGGAAAACTGTATAGTAAAACCACAAAATACTGATTTCTTTTGCTGGTCAAGCTAAATTTAACATTCCACATAAGGTATTTTTCACGCATTAAAGATAATAAAGTTTGTTTATTTTATCCTAAAGAATAGGATCTCAGCATAGGAAGGGTTTGTTTCTTATTTAAAAATAGTAACAGAGGAAGAATCTGCTCTGACCTGATAGCTTACCACGCCAAAAGATTCTGATCTAGGGATAATGAATCCTGTGACTATCCATGCCCTCCTTTCAGTTAAGATTCTGTCCCAGATTCTGAAAATAGTAATCACCTACTGTTTGTTCCTACCTGTTTGTTTTCCAAATATGTACGACATCAGGATCTGTGATTTTTTTGTTTTCAGCTTGGGCATCCAAAAAGTCAAAAAAGTATTTTATAGCAAATGGGGCTCTGCTGTTGGGTAAACTCCAAATGCTTCTAAAAAGTTTCTCAAGCACAGAATGAACTGCCACCTGAAAGAGAACATCAGACTTGGGAGATTTAAAAAAAAAAGAAAAAAAGTTTTGAATACAATGGAAAATGAAATCCCAGTTCAGAGAAAATGATGTATATAAGAGAAAATATGTCAAATTATCAAATGAGGCCAACACAGTATGGGACAAGGGGCCCTGAAAATCTATGCCCAGGTTTACATTTGGTTCATCAGCTTCTTGCTGATAACAAGATTGTTTAGTCAACAGAGAGGATATCTTAGAAAAATCTCTAGCAGTTGAAATGTCAATTGTAGGGCTGTATACAGAAACCAAGATGCCACGGATGTTTAGCTTTTATTGGTTATGTTCAGCCTGGAAAAACTCAACGTTCCTCAGTTCCCTGAATTTTTTCGTTGCATGTATTTCCATTATAGGTTTTTATTATGTACTTTCCAAAATATTTGAGTCTTTTACAAAAGCCAAATAGGCAGAGCTCTCTGGGACAGAGGAGAAAATCAAGAGCTCTGGCTGGCCCCTGTCCACTAAACAAATCTACTGAGCTCTAAGCATACCCTCTGCTATAATCTGAAGATGCATGCCCATCAGGAGACCAGGGCCAGGTGTAGATAATAGCATTTATATTGCTAGTCATTTCAGGAAAAAAGAAAAAAAAAGTATCACCACAGACTTCTGTTAATCCCACTACAAGCCAGATAAAGTAAAATTTGCTTCTGATTTGGTATTCCACCGGCTTTTACATCTGACATTTTTATAGATGAACAGCATCCTTAACTTTAAAATGGAAAAAAAAAAAAAAAAATTTACTAGGTTTATAGTCACTGACCCCACCCTTCATTTATTTGCAATTCAGAGGGAGTTTTATCATCTATAATAACAAGTAAACAAAAAGAAGTAATTATGCCATCAACCTAAAAAATAACAATAGTGAAATGGTAGGTAAAGGGATTGGGAACAATATTAAATCCCTGATTGAAGACACAACAGTCAAAATTTGTAAAGTGCTGTTATCTTCGTCATTTATAAAAAGAGGGTAGGAAGTGTTTACAATTTAAACTTTCATTTTGCTTTGCTAGAAGGCACAAGGGATTTGTAACATTTTCACACTTCAGTGGAAATTAAGTCAAACACATCATACACCCCCAAGGTAGCCATAAAAGCACTCCCAGAACAGTAAGTGTACCTTGGTCGACAGCAGCTTTGTCAGATACATTTCTTTTACTTTGAACTTGTGTTTTCCTCGATGTCTTTTTCCTTGCACATCTTGGAATGCTTCGGAATCTGGTAAAATCTAACGGGAAGACAGTAGAAGCGTTACCCACGGAGACCGTTCGTGCTACAGAAGGCATCCAATTCAGGGGCAAGCACAAGAAAGCCTGAACTCACCAAATGGCAGTGGTCTTCTGAGTATTCCACATCTGAATGCCAGAGAAAGGGAGAGAAAACAGTCTATTAAAAAAACAACCACGGGCTAATTGGCCTTCTCATAAAATGCCCCATTTGTGCTATGAACAGAAGAGGTTACTCGAGCTCTTCCACTTGAGCTCTTCATAGCTACATTTTTTTTTCACCCTGCTGCAAGATCTTAACAACGTGAAGACAGAATGGGCCAGGGCCTGGAGTAGGAAGCAGGTTCCCAACAGGCTGAGTGGCCCCTTGCTGGGGGTGGGGTAGGAGAGGTTCAAGCCTTATTCATTAACAAATGCACCCGGGGCACCTACTGAGTGCCGGGGGCTCCCAGGCAAAAGGTAGTGATAAGACAGACCTAGTTCCCTTCAATGGCGTTTACATCCTAGCCGATGAGAAACTTTCTATGACTAATTATACAGTTATTTACCTGGAATTGTGACAAGGCTTATGAAGAAGTATATGCTAAGAAAGTAACTAACGAGGGTCCAACCTACTCTGGGAGGTTTCTCAGAGGAAGGGATGTTGGAGCTGAACTTAATGACGAGTTAGCCAGGCAAATGGAGGAGACCCTAAGGTGGGAAGAACTGACGCCCTCCTGGGATCCAAAAGAAGGGCAATGAGTTGGAGCTCCCAGAGCAAGTGCGAGAGTGGCACAGAGTGAGGACAGCCCTGAAAGCAATGTGGCAGTAAATGGGAGGAAAAGAGGGATTAAGGCACTAGGTTTTTTGTATTGAAGATAAGGGAGACTAGAACACCTTGAAACACTAAGGAAAAAACTGCAGTAGGCAGGGAGCTATAGAAAGTTTAGGGGAGAGAAGATTATCTGTGGTGTAAGAATGTGTGGAAGGTTGGAAAGAATGAGAGACTGGCCTTGGACATGAAGAAGGAAAACCCTGGAATGCCAGGGGAGCCACAGAGGAAGAAATGGGCAGACACAGGTGGGGTGGGAGGTTTGGTGCTGGACGTTGAGGGAGTTGTGACTCCTGTTTTCTCTGTGAGGTGCAGGATCAAATCAGCTGCTGATAGAGCTGTGTGGGTCAGAGAGCTCTGAGGAGAGAAGGTAGAATTCTGGAGAACCCAGAGTGAGTTACCTAGAGAAATAGTGGGTATAGGCTGCATTGAGGGTCCCCCGTCATGTGGGCACCATGAATTTATAATAACTCCAATCGTACTTTCCTCCAGTGGCTGCCTGGGTATAGTTCAGAAAAGGCCAGTAGTTGGGTTCATCTAGGGCTGGGGTTGTGACTGAGACAGTAGTGAAAGGGGACAGGGGCAGGAGGTTTGAAGGGTTAGCAGGGGAGTGATCAAAATGATGGTTCTCAGCTGAACTGGACAGGGAAGAAGCAGAGGCATTGACTGCCCTGAGGTCCCATGAAGAAATCCAAATGCAAGATCCCCAAAGAGCAAGCTCTGCCAATGGCCTGATCTTTGAAGCTTAAAATACAAAGCTCTTCCACTTTTTATAACACAAGGACACCAATCCCCCTATGCCAGAATGACCATCACCCTCTGCAAGATGCCTTCTCTCACTATAGCCAGATGTAATGATGGACTGGGGGGTCCCCAAAAGGGTGTCCTACAACCTACCAAATTATCCTTTCCATTTAACTGGAGTCCCTGCATTCCCTGTTTGCACTGACTAGGTCTTGGGACCTACCAGGCTGCCCTTAGTATTGAATCCAGGAATCAGGAAGCCTCCCCTCCGGTTGTGTGTGTGAGAAGTCCTGTCGGTGAGGCCCAGAACCCTTCTAAGGGCTGAGGACTGATTGTCTTGGCTGGGGTATGATTTCTCTGGAGACCAACCTGAACCAGGATCTAGGGTTTTTCTCAAGGCACCATCACAATGTTTTCTTGTCCTGAGGCTATCAGGGAGGTGGTAGAGAGTTTAGAGACTAGCTTATAGACTTTCCCATAAAAGCTCCCCATTTGGTTTGTCTCGATCACTTTCTGGGAATTTTGCAGATGCTATCAAAGGAGATTTGAATTTCTAAGTAGATTATCTTGTTTGTTCAGCACCTGCAGGGCTGTGTGACTATCTACAAGCTTCCCTCTTAGTTTGCCAGAGGGGTCTCCTCTATTAGCCCCCATCCTACTGAGGAGTTGTCACAGAGCGAGGAAGGCTGAGATTCTGTCCTGAGTTTAGGGCTGTCAAGAGGCAGCAACTTCCTTAGTACTGGGCAGTCCCAGCCAACTGCTCTTTACTGTTTCCTGTCCGCCTCCTTGCAAGGCTCACATTTTTAGGAACAGAAACAGATCAAATGGCTTTTCTCCGATTTCAGAGAATTACATAGCAACAACTCAGTCTCACCTTTGTGACAATACACCTGAGAGAGGCAAAAAGCGATACTTTAGAAAGGTGGGTGAGATCAAAAGGTTAACATTATACTGGTTACCTGAAGGAAAATTTGCTATCTTCTTAAAGACCTTTATAGTGGATCCATTTGATATCTGAAAGCAAAGATAAAAAATATATGAGTTTTCAAAATTTAATGTATTTCTCAACTTCATCCAGGAATTAGATCGCTGGATGGATCTTACATTCTCTCACTTATTAAATATTTATCAAGAAATGCTGTGTTCTGGGCACTGTGCTGGAGGCTGGGGCCGTAATGATGACCAAGACACTATCTCCACCCTCAAGGAGCTTACAGTCCTGTGGAGGAGATGGACAAGGCAGTGAGGTGTAGTGAGGCTGGGAGAGGGAGGCCAGGGTCTTGGGGCCAATGGGAGGTGGGCCAGCCCTGGAGGAGGGGAAGATGAGGCTGGGCTAGGATGTACCCCAGCCTCTCAGAGGTCAAGAGAGGCTTGGGCCACTAACTTTTTGAGGTTCCTACTATATTAAGAAATGCTGAAACAGGTGTTCAAAAACTGTTATCTAGAGCAGGTGTCTAATCCTATGACAGAGCAATTTCACATCTAGATATATGCCCAACAGAAAGAAGTACATATCCTGATAGTTAACTATTTGTAATTGCCCCATATTGGAAACAAATATCACCAATGAATAAATAACTGGGAGTATGTCCATACCACAGAATATAGAACAATGGAAGTGAGCAAATTATTTCTACACACTACATGGGTAGACCTCATAATGATAATACCGAGCAAAAGAAGCCACACAAAGGAATGTATACTGTGTGATTCCATTCACATAAAGCTAAAAAAAAACCTAAATGAACACAAAAACAGTCAAACTACAATGTTAGATATTTGCAGGAGAGAGAGGGGTTAGGGACCAGGAGGGGACTTCTAAAGTACCCATAACGTTCTACTTCTTGACCTGAGTGGTAGTTAACAGGACGTGCTCACTTTGTGATCATTCATCCAGTGGTACACTTATGATTTCTTCTCTTTTCTGCAGCTATATCATATTTTTAAAAAGGAGCTTTTGAAATAATAAGAATTGCATATACTTTTAAATAAAAACTTTAAAATTTAAGTATAACTTACAGGAAGGCACTTAATGTTCACTAATATTAAGTGTGCAGCTCAGTCAATGTTCATTTAAATAAATACCTATATAAGCACTACCCACATCAAGATATAAAATATTTCAAGGTCCCAAGAAGTACCCCGTTATCTCCTCCCAGTCAGTAACCACTGCATCCTCAGCCAGAGGTAATCACTGGTCTGACTTCCATCTGTTCTTGAACTTCATTTATAAATGGAATCATATAATACAGCTGACCCTTGAACAACATGGGGGGTAGGCGGTACTCCCCCGCCCCGCACATTTGAAACTCTACATAGAACTTTTGATTCCCCTAAAACTTAACTGCTAATAGCCCGATAGGAAGCCTTACCAAGAACAGTCAATTAACACATATTTTGTATGTTTGTGTATTATATACTGTATTCTTGCAATAAAGCTAGAGAAAAAATATTAAAATCATAAGATACATTTATAGTACTACACTGTATTTATTGAAAAAAATCTGCATGTAAGTGGACCTGCACAGTTCAAACCCGCATTGTTCAAGGGTCAAACTGTATAAATATATTCTTATGTCTGGCTTCTTAGGGTCAACATAAGGTCTGTGATGTTTATCCATATTGTTGCAGCTACCAGTAGTTCTTTCTTTTAAAATTACTTTGTATCATTGCATTGTATGAATATACTACAAAAAAACTGCCATACAATAAAAAGGAAGTATTGATATATGGTACAACGGGAACCTCAAAAACAATATGCTAAGTGAAAGAAGCCAGTCACAAAAGACCACATATTGTACGATCCTATTTATATAAAATGTCCAGAATAGACAGATTTATACATACAGAAAGATGACTAGTTGCCTAAAGCAGGGGTCGGAAGAATGAGGAGTGACTGCTAATGAATTCAAGTTTCTCTTTGGGGTGATGAAAATGTTCTAAAATTAGATTGTGGTGATGATTGCACAACTCTGTAAATGCACCGAAAACTATTGAATTGTACATTTTAAAAGGTGACCTTTATGGTATATAAATTATATCTCAATAGAGCTGCTAAAAAAAATTGCCACAGATTTTAAATTCACACCTTTGACAAATAAATGCTTTTACCAACTGACACACTATTGCAATGCCCATGCATACCCTCTTTTGTCAATAAAGGCAAGAGTTCTCACCTGAGGACTTTTGGAAAGACTGTGGAACCCAGTGCCAAATGGCCCTCCAGTGCAGCCCTCCCCTACAACCAACCAGGAGAAGCAGCACCCTTCAGGCCAAGGGGACTAGATGCTAAGATGCAGAGGGCAGCCCTCACTATTCTGAGGGGCTAAGTCCACAAAAATTTAAGACAAAGGGGCCTTGAGGGAGAGGCAGGTCAGGGATACACAAATCCTTGCCTTCATTCTGGGATTGTGGAGGGAGGATTAACGCCTTCGCTTTAGAACACTGTCAGCTCAGTGCTTTTCCCCTCCATTCTCAAGTTCTAATACTACTTTGGACCCAGCCTTCCCCAGCTGGGAAAAAAGTAGAAACCTAGAGTTTCTCCTCTGGCCTGCTGCACATTTCGTTACCAGAATGTACAAACCTGCCTAGCAAGCACCAAAGGATTAAAGCCGAATCTCCTTCAGGTTGCACCCACAGAGGAAGGAACACAGAGCAGAGCCAACCCTGCAGAGACGCCCCGAGCAAAGCGGTCCAGCCAGCTGTGTCTAGCCACCTGCTACCTTGAGGCCAGAGGCCCCCAACCGCTGGGGTTCACGACATCTCGGAGGGAGCGGGAGTACTGGGCGGGGGCTGGCTGGGCCATCAGGCCTCCGACAAGTGTCTCCAGCGTGGATTCTGAACTCTCACTGAATTCTGTTCTGCTGTGATTGCCAAACATCCTTTCCTTTCCCCTTGAGCCATTCATTGTTTTCTGGTTGATTTTTCCATTCTCCTCCATATTGGATGCAAGTAAACACTCAGCACAGGCACTCCCTTAGCAACACTCAGACACCAAGTTTATGAGAATGTTTGAATAGCGTTACAAAGTTCCTCCCCATGAAGAGCTGGATATGCTCGGTTTCTAAGCCAATAAGTATCTTTTTATAAAAGGAAGCTGGTGATTCATTCTGGGTAATTGTCAAAGAATGAATCCCAAATGGATCCTGTTGAGTGTTGAGCCAATACTCCACTACTGTCAGATGCTTTGTTTTGCTAAACGTGCTCACCCTCACTCTATAATCACAACCACCACGGATGGGCCTTCCCGATAAGGAGTGCTGCCAAAAGTTCAAATGTCTTTTCAAGAGCTGGCAACAACTCACTGCTGGCACTGAGCTCAGGCACTGGGAGAGCGCAGACGCAGCTTGTACCAAGGAAATTTGAAATTATCTCCCAAGAGCAAGTGCAAAAGCATTTTATTAGTGGGTGAGTTGTGTGTGTGTCTGAGCCTGTGTGTGAAGTGTATTTCTAACTTTCACAGCTGCTCTCCGGCTGGAACACCCACCCCCCCGCCACGTGACACTAACGCCGTTGTAAGACAGAAACTAGTTTATTTACAGATGTTGGGGAACAGGGTGGGGGGGGAAGGTTTCCATTTTCTATTTTGCATAAGTCAGCTCCTGCCCAGTTAAGGACAGAAATGCCTTTTTGAAAAGTGCCACAGAACCTAAAGTGTTAAAAGTATGATGCTGTTTGTTCCATCTGAGGAGCTCCAAATGCTTTCCTAAGAGGGACTCATTAATCCTCCTGTACTCCTGTGAGGCAGGGAGCATCCTCTGGACCCCTACTTTAGGAATAAAAACCAAATTAAATCAAAGAAAGATTAATGTCACTAGATGGATCTGCGGCAGGAATGTTTCTCCAGCCAGAGCAGAACTGGTAACACAGGGCAATTTCAAATTAAATTCCTTCCAGTCTCACAGTGCTCCACGATTCAAGGAGACAAGAAGGCTATACCCCTTCAATGATGACTGGCCAATGTTGGAACAGGGTGGAGAAAACTGTAGACTCCTCCATTATCAGCATTAGGAACTGTGACCACACAGGGCGAAAAGGACTCATGTCAACAATGTAAAATCACTCCTGAAATAAACAGAAGGTACATATCCTCCAATGTGCAAGTGAAGGTGGGATTTCTGTGGCATAGGTTGAAGAAAATTCCATAAAAATAGATTTTCTACATATATAAGATTGAACTTCTATTTAACCTTACAAAACTGCCATTTTTGTATATTAAAATGGTCTAATATTGGTAATTTCATATTGTTTAGCCTAAGAGAAAAGCTGAATTTGAGCCTAAGAATTCTATGGAAAATTATGAAATATTGTGATACTTTTTTTCTCAAAAAAAAGGAAAACAGAGTAACCAATACAAATCACCATGTGGAAACCCTTACCAGTATCTCTCATTCCTAAAACGTATTATATGAAAACAGAAATTTAGGGCGCCTGGGTGGCTCAGTTGGTGAAGCATCCACCTCT